AGTCCTTTGACGTCCTCAGTGCTCAGCGGCCGGGTTTCGGACCCATATTATAACATGGAGCGCACCCCAACATTGTGAGCTCGAGCCTTGACGTATAAGCCGATGTCACGTCTGCGCCGCAGGTGATGCAGATTCACGGAAGCTTCTCTGACCTTCCCAATCCGGATGGATGTATCATCTTCCGTGTGACCACCGGAACTGAAACAGGCGCCCAGGTAGACAACTTAGTCCGCTACCTTAATCGGCACATCCGCAAGCATGAATTTAGGGTTCGAGTACACCTGGTCTTGCAGTAGCACTTTACATTTTGTAGGCGCGATGCGCATGTCAGGTAGAATTATCGGATTATTTAGTACCGTTTATGTTACCATGGTGTCAGATCGAAGAACAGCCATGTAGCCTTCGTGCTCGATATCTGTGAGCGAACCCATGATTTGTGTATCAAACAAACGATAATTGAACCCCTATAGCTTCCACTATAAAACGCAAATAACTGGCGATGTTTGAATATTTATCTCTCCTCCTCGGCTGTAGGGTCGCATCAGTAGAATTTCATGTGTGAATTTGCCGAAGAGAGTGCTGTTTTCCATGCCCAATTCGGAGTGGCGTAAACAGAGAGGTGGCCAACCCTTGACTTGGCGGAGGAGTATGAAGGAGATCACGAAACGCTTGGGTGCTGTCGGTGCTACTCGCCTTCCAGGATGGGGACTGTGTGATCCTCACTGTGCCTGGTTGGAGACACTACAAGATATGGCTGCCAACCGATGTCAGTGGCGTTCTTGTTGTCAGTTTCTATCCAGATTGCCTGAGTGAATGTCTTGAGGTGTAGGCACCTTGGAATGATTGTAAGCTAGTATTGAGTCTCTTCCCTGTCCACCTTTATTCTTTACAATAAGGCGAGATGGCTCAAGTGGTTATAGCGCGAATTCACTGGTCGGAAGGTCCTTGGTTCGAACCCGACCTCTGCTTCTCGACTTCCCCTGCCTAGGCTTTGGCAACCTGGCAGTATCTCAGCCCTCGTGCATCCTTCGGGTTGCATGCCAGTTAGGAACCGAAAGGGTGCTATACCTGAAGGATTTTTTCCAATTAAATTATGGTTGTACGGCAGTGAAGCAGCTGAACACTGATGTCATGATGTCAATGATGATTGTGATGTGGGGAAAACATGGTAACGTTTTGAGTGTCTTGGACCAATTCTAGCATGGTTTGAGAAGCTTCCAAGTAGGTGCTGTTAGGTTCACCGTGTCGCAAACGTTCCCCAGAATTGTTTTAACCGTTTTGCTCCGTTGGCTGCTCTGAACGGGATAAAAGATACAGCAATTGAAAATACCATATTGAGAAGAAATAGACCTTCACTGGTGCATGTACTTAACCGTTCAACAGGGGTCTAAACTGATACAAACTGCGCATATAACCAGATTATTAGTACTGCTTCGAAAAATCCATCTAGAGAACTGGTCAGTGTTGACGTCTAATTTGAATCTGTGGGTGCCATTAAGTCATCGAATATACAACAACAGCATACACTAGTTTCAGATGCACACTTCTCACTTACCAGCTGAAATCGATTATTTGGAGCTTTAACGAGCCTCACAGTGGTGCCATGAGGTAGGGGTTGCATCATTTGACCTCGGTCGTTTCATGCTACTTTCCGTCCTAACCATGAGTACCACTAATGGTCATTTACCATTTCGTGTTTTTTTAATTTGAATATTAATGTCAGCATCTTTCTACTTCTACCTCATGTAAATCCAGTGTTGTGGTCAAAATCCTTAGTGTTCCTTAGTGCCTTCTAGAGCCAAAGTTAACCAACAACATAATAATACATCTGTTCTGTACACGAGCTTTCTTCACGAGTCATAGTTTTGTCCCCTGTCCCCATCCTCGCTTTATTGGCGGCTAACGCGCAGGTATTTTTCCGTTTTGCCTTTATATGCTGTGAATCAATTTCTATTCAGACCGTCTAACGTTAACACCTCCAATTGTCTGATCTTAGTTGGCCCCGCTGCATCCTTCACCAACACTGCGAATTCTGGAGCGACCCCTACCTTTGAAATCCCTCAAACATCACGGAATAAATTTAATACCGGTGCTGGGTTGTCATCGAACGGTCCCGCAAGTGATGGCACCTCGACTACTGGAAGCGCCTATCCTCCCAATACTCCAAACCGCACCGGCACGCGACCTCATGTAGGTAAGGATGCCTTTTCCGATCTCCTGGGCGATTTTTCCGGTGCATCCAACACGCCTGGTCAAGGCCAACCAAAGACTGTCAATGAGATGCGCCGTGAAAAGCTGGCGAAAACGGTAGATCCGGAACAACTCAAGGTTAGTGATCTCTGGTTGCTTCCTAAAATACCAGTTTGAGCTTTATAAATGTCTTCAAACCTGTGCCTCAATCGCTCTATCCTCCAACAGTTTCTGAATGTGCTCACTGTTAATTTGATTACCGAAAACAGTGCGTTGTCCCGTGAGCGTTCACCTATTGGGAATTTGTTGGTTCATTTAGACGAAAACCGTTTGGAAATGTTCCTTGCTCAGTGTAGCACACCAGTCTGTGTGTCTTCAAGTTTCCCTACGTTGTATTTTCACTTATTTGCCTTCAATAACTATGAACCACTTTCTGTTTGGTTAATATCTTTTTGCTGTTGGTACGTTGTACAAAATTGCTGGGAGTTATGGCACCCAATCGCTGTGTTCTCTCATTGTGATTAACTTCGTGTTTCTCTCTAACTGAAGGGTGTGTTCTAATGACATGTTATCATCTTCTATGTTGTCTTTCCTCATGTTAGTGCTAGAGGAACGATTGTCTGAAGTGATGCTATATCTAATCAGTGGCGTCGCTGTTGACACATTGAATTCCCCTTGAGAGTCAACACCGCGATGACCTAGCTAAATGTTTGCTTCTTTCGAATAATTCTCTGTGTAGCCAAACTGTATTGTTTTTTTTTACCTAGGTAGAACATACGTACGCCTCCGTCCACTTCGTTCGTACTGTGCAGTCTCTCATACCCGTTACCGTCATCTAAGAGAGCTAAATTGGTGTAATTCGCTGAGCGCATAACATACGTTATTCCAGTGATTTTTTCGCAGCCGCTATCTGCACACTGAACACATCACACCTGAATGATGTTGTTATTCGATGTCTGTTAACTCGTGTTTCGTTCCAACTACTCGGCACTTAGTGTGTAGATGAACAGGGAGTACCTAATTGTCACAAGTTTGAAGCTACGGTTGTTCACTCGGCACTAGCATCCGAATGGTACCAAGTCGAATCTACGAACAAGGAGTAGTAACAAAAGCACATTTTGGTCCGGAATAAGACTAACTGTCGATCGTTACTGGGTCGACACTACCCACTCAACGCTGATGTTCCTCTCGTCCGATTTACGCTGTTTGATTAAATACATCGCAGTCCATGGAGTTCCGATCATTATCTGGTCTGGTAAACAAGGAAGTTATTATAGTCTATTGGGACGTTCTTAGCCATATCTTGACAGTTTGGAAATGAAGTTGATCCTTAGTCCTCTTGAATGCATCGTCTATGAAACATCGTGGTGTTTCCGATTTCAGTATTCTGATATTGCCACTTCCATCTTGTTATGGACAGGGGGATTTATTCGTTCCTGAAGAGCCCAGCACAGTGCCACTCATTGAAAGCTCAAATCGTATGTGCGCTTTTCCATTTGCTTTGGAATCGTATTCTTCTAGAGCATCCTCTCATTTACTTGTTTTTGAGAGCCTTCGAAATTGCATCCGTCTAATAATGGTTCTGAGGCTTGCACCTGCTTTTCGGTTTCATTCAGATAATTCTAGCGACATGCCATCTTCGATTAGCTGGTGCAGCGTTAACTTTTACTGGGTGGGAACGAGCGTGGCGGAATTTGTTCACGCCTCCAGATATGACCCATTAGACGTGGTTACGGTGATTTCGACTCTTCGTGGTTCCGAATAACCCCCACTCGCTTTCTAACACACTTGTGCTTTAAATCGACCTGGAGATTTGACGAACCAGATGGCCAACAAAGTAATCCTCAAGATATTGCTTCCGATGAAGTCGAAATTACAGTTTTTGATTTCCAGTGTTTGTGTACCAGTCACAAATAATACACCGTCATCCCAGGTCCTGTGGCATTTAGTAATACGCACTTTCTTGGCGAGTTCATGAAAGGGTGGTGCATTTAGATTTTTAGATTCTGTGCAGAATACCTAATGGTTTTTGCTCTACTTAATACAGACTCACCTGGTTCACCTCAATATAGTGGTCTTATCCTCTAATTATTGACCCACCTGTTTTCACAACTTTGCTTCATTTTTTACTTACCTTCAGGTTCAAGACTGGGCCCACGGAAAGGACCGAAACCTGCGAGCGCTCTTATGCTCATTGCCCGGCATTCTGTGGGATGGCGTCAAATGGAAACCAGTCGGCATAACCGATCTGATGACTGCTGAGCAGGTCAAACGACAATATCGAAACGCTGCCCGCGTGATTCATCCTGATAAGGTGAATTAATCAGTGGTATGGATGTATTGCACCGAGATTCTGTATTCCTTCACAACAACGGAACATAGGTAGAAACATTTAGTTACCGCATTTTGTTTTCTAATCCCTTGCTTTTGACCCGCATCGCAACAGAGCATGTCCCTACACGACACCAAGCCCGTCGCTAGCAGTTCACAAGCCCTCAAACCTGTGACGCAGTGTTGTTGTGGCATAGTTGGTATCAAATTACGGTCGAGTGTCATAAAAGAGCCATTTTAAGAATTTCAACTCTTTTGTTTGTGGTTGTGCGTGCGTATTTAACGTACTTTTTTCTATAAAAAAAACCGGGTCCGTTTTTACATCTAGTCTACTTTCTCTCAATCCGTCCTCTGTTTGACGAAGTGACAGAACCTATGCGGCGGAAGCCCTAACCGTGACCTTACGTGCACCGATTGATAGTTGGTTAGAGGCATCTAAACAGGAATTATCCATTGTATTTTTCTCTTAGCTTTCTGTGTCATTTAACCAATTGTCCTCCATTCTTCCTACTTCCCGAATGCTCCCCATAGTGGATGAATACGGAACATGAACAGTTGGCACGCATGATTTTTGTGGAACTCAATGATGCAATGGCCGAATTCGAGAAGGAATCGGGCCCTGGTTTCTCCTTTTGAACCCGTGAATTGAAGGGTAGCGTGTTCGTTGCTTCTAGGTCTACGGCAACAGCATTCCATGCCATCTTCGATTTAGCGTTTCATCCACATGCGTACTTGGATATCGTTTATTTCTCATCTCGTTTTTGAGCAGTCTGTGATCCCTGCTTCATCCCGTACTCAAGAACCGAGTTTCCTCTTATTCTGTTGTTCTATTTATCAAACGGGGTCCAACCATCCGTTCACAACGCTCCTCTGCCTTGTTTTTTTGGTTAGCATGGTGTTGGTCCCTATTCATTTGTTTACATACCAGTCTTTCCCAAGTCATTCCCCGACACTTGTAATTTCCTACTGGATCACGCAGCTCCATTCTCCGGCCTATCGAGTACCTGTTATATTCCCTCGGATCACATTTTAAACTGCTGGTGCTATTATCTTTCATCACTTCAGTATGAAATTATTTGTATTTTGGGCTTTCCAACTCGTTATTTATTCGTCCAATCTTGATACAACCCCTCCCGAGTGCCAGTTTCCAACTTACTGTTATCGCGGGCACTTGTGTAAATAGTGGTCCTGATTTTGTAGTTTTCCACTACATTCCCATTACCACGCAACTCACAAATACGAGTGTTACAGATTTCTTTGTTTATTTTCGGTCTCTTCGTTAGGAACAGCCTTGTATCAGAAGTTAAAGATAGAGAACCGAATTGCTGTTGATTGCTCTTCCTGAAGAGACTGATCAGTAGTTGATTTTCCATAGGGGGCACCTGTGCCTATCTTCATTTGTTAATAGAATGAAAATCACTTAATCGGAGTTAATTCTCAGTGCTTCGTATACTTGGTCTTCCTTGGTCACCAGTTCCAGTGTAAATGAGCCTCTTTACTGTGAGATTCTTGACACAGTACTTCACTTAATAGTGTGTTCCCTCTACTCAAAAACCATAGGCGCATCGGTGGCATTAGCGACCATGACGCCCTGGTACTGACTGACTCACTTAAGGCTGTTCCTATCGCACTGGAAAAAATGGCAAGTGGAACACATGGGCCGCTTCTCCCGGGTTCACTTCGCACGACTGGCCTATCGCACCAGTAAGCCACGCGGTCAACTTGTATTGGATGTGGCGGTGGCGTCAAGTTGACGACAGGGTCTGTTCAGATGGCTGCGCCCTTCAGTACAAGTTGTCTCAGATGAGCAGTCTAGAACCGGCTGAAATTTGAAACCTACTCGCTGTATTGGGTTTACCTTGAGCCAACTTCGTTGGTGCACGCCAGAGACGAACACAGACTACTGAAATTGAATCATCGTAAAATCCTGGTCGTAAGACTACTCAGGCGGACAGTCTGGAGACCCTTTGATGTGCCTTTTTAATGCCACAGAGTGATGCGAATTGGCAAACCCACTTTCTGGTCTTCGGGAGTTGACTTACGTCCAGTGCAACAGTCGTGTAAGTGACAGAGCAGACCCATGCATATCGCTCTCTTTAAGCTTCTGGAAGAGCCGAATAAACCACTGCTAAATGTGAGCGCATTGGCTTAGATCTCCAGAGCCCTCTGTCAACAAAAATTCCAAGTGTACCGCTGAAACTCTGTCGCCGGTCGCTAACTCAAACAAGGCTTCCTCTCGGAAGTAAAATGCACTCTGCACTTCAGACTGTCTACATCCTAATGACCTAACACCTACGCCCACACTTGCTGCCAGTTGGCCTCCCTCAAACAAACCAAAATAACCATACGGCATAATATTGTCATTATTTAGGACACTGGTGAAGATTTTATACCGTATCACCCGAAGACGGGTGCTGTCGTGTTGAAAAGCGGCAAACAGTTATAGAGTTATTTCCACCTTTCAACGGGAATTCCACCAGATGTCAAGCAGCTTTAAACGTACTATACTAGATTTTTGGCTTTTGTGAAATAACGTCATTCTTCTGGTTTCAATTCTGGGGCTATCCAGACCGGTGATGCGTATAGGCACACATTCTCCACCATATGCGCCGAAAGGGTGTTAGGCTGAACAAGAATTCTAGTTTATCATTTGCTTACAGTACTTGGATATCCTGTCACGTCTTCTCACCTCGTCTGCGAAAGAATCTGTGGCAGATATAGTCACTCTATAACCCGTGCCAGTTCACAACCCACAGCGACGATGCCTACTGTTAATCCAGAGCACGACCTACCTAGTGGCTCACCGACCGAAGCGGGCATAATGAAGTGTTTTGAATGCCAGACCGGTTGTCCTGCAAAAGGTAAGGCTTTGGTGGCAATGGGACTAAAGTAGCATCGCGGTACTTATCGCTTGTCAAGAAAATCTTCTCGGAGACTGTGCCAGATTCTTGTATCGGACAGCCTGCTCAGCAGTAGAACTGCATCGCGATGTCCTTTGTACTCTGGAAGACCACCAAGATAGTGCATGATTCGGAACCCCGAGAAATGAATGACTGCACCACATAAATGCTCTTGAGATTGGTCTGTAGAACTTGTCTCACGGTAACCAGGCATGTTACTGAGCAAGGAGGAGGCATATAGGTTTTCCACTGTTACACTTCTTTTTAACATTCGGTCCAAATAGGACATTGGAACCAAATTACTTCCCACATTAAGCATAACCCCTTCTTTCGATTTTCGAACAAATCGACGTCGAAAGAGGGCACAGCTCCCAGCGAGTTCAGGCTTGCGTCAAAATTGCAGGCGGGGTTTTAGGTGAATACCAGATGTTTCATAAGCATCAAATTTCGCACTACTGCACAGGTATCAATCACGCCTGTGCTGCCTAGGAAACACGGGATACTTTCTTCAAAAACATGACACCTAAAATAACACCCGCTTCGGTGCTAAACACAAAGTTTACGCGCTCTTTATCGGGGTAGTTTTTGACAAAATGCTATCGGTCACTGTGTTAAATACAAGGCCCTTATCATCAGGTTAGTCCGTAACAGGATAGGGCACTGAGACGACTGGGGTGCAAGTGACTACTGGATCCATTGGACACCAATCTGGTAGTCCCACGCGGCGTTCGAGAGAGAAGATCTGCAGATTTTCGTGGCGGTTGGAGGACATCTTAAACCACTTAGGTTGAAAGGTGACACGGCGGGAAATCTGTTTTTGGAAGTTAATATGTGGTGGAAAGCGAAGGTACTGGTTTGCGGCATGATATAAGGTAAGATGTATACAAGTCAGCATAGCAAGGATAGACCCCAAAGATTTGTACGCATCAAGAACTAATATATACAGATAATCATAAGTTAATCAGTTTACTGGAAGTGAACTCACTTCCCAACTGAATCTCACCTAAATCTCTCATTCGTGACTTCCGTGTGAATCAATACAGTTCTAGTGACATTGTGACCTGGTAAGTTTTTCCAAGCATCGTTCGAGCTGTCCTCATCAGTTATTGATAGTGTACATTCTATCAACAGATAATTTTCATTCCGTATTATACGGAAAGGATTCTCCATGCACAAGTCAAAACATGGGTTATTCGGGCACAACTGGACTTGCCGAATGATACCTTAACCCGGCAGTTATCTGTAGCACTAGGTTCCCACGAATGTCCGCCACAGTCCCCGCAAATATACATCTTCTTTGACTGTCATTTCTTTCATAAAACTGTATTGCCTTATCATTATTGTACAGTCTCTTGTCGCGCGTACTGTAAAATCTTCCTCCTTTGTTTGAAAGTTAAGCTTATATGTAATTTTAATCTTCGCAACCCCATCGTGTATGAAGCAATTAACTTATCTTCATCTGAACTGGTGGTCAAATAGCCAGTCGGTAGGTATTTCAGATTGCCTTCAGCACAAAATCGTCCCCTCCTCTACACTCGTCACAGTTAAAATACCACATGTCTAGCTTGATGGATCCTATCTCTTAGTAAAGAAAAAGAAACGATTTCGTCTGAGACGCCATGTTGCAGCCGGCCAAATGATAAGCCTTGCAGGTGGCATCTTGTTGGTTTCTGAGTACAAGGATTCATGGTATGTGGATCGGATCTATTCGGATCTGAATATCATTTCCTAACTATCACTCGTAATATTTAGAGTGCCCCCTCTCTCATGCAATACATCTGCGTCGGTGTAGAACACTTCCTGAGTCACACCACATTCTTCCGTCTAGGGCTTACTTCTTGCAGTCAGCAACATCCAACATCCAGTACAACTTGAGCCTCAGCGTAAAAACACCGCTTTTTGTGTAATTTAAGGAATTTCACACCAGGAGTTATCTCAATTATTTTCATGCTCTTGGGCGTTTGATCGTCACGGTTGCCATAGCACATTGGATACAACCGAGCTTGACCATTAATTTTCCCTCTACCGTGCTCGTTCTGATCTTTGTACAAGGCGAATCAGGACGGAGCTGCCATCAAAAACTTTACACATTGAATTTACAATTCATCCATTGTTTTCAAACACCTTCGACCTGGAATATACTTTGGCAGTGAGGTCATCCAACCATTTTGTGACTGACTTTATGCATGTGCGACTGTCTCACGTGGTTCGTACTTTTGTAGTCCAAGTGGACCAGTTAATGTGGACGTGTATCTACTGTCGGGGTTTGTATAATTTGTAAATTGTGATGAACATGACTGATGCTCTATTCATTGCTCTATTCCTTATTCTCTTGTTTTAATATTCCATATGCTGTACATATTCGCCAATTCGAATACATACGTGCTGGTTGCCACTCTTCGTTGAATTCTGGATTTCTAGTTTGTCGGGTTGTACCGATATACGTACGAAACTTAATTACCACACAGTGATTCAACTAGCTAAACATAACATAACCATTAAATACTTATAAACAAGTCCTAGAGCCAGCCTGGTTGACTCGAAGGCTTCTTTTTCATTTATTCCGCGCCAATAGAGTAGTACGGCTAGCCTTGGTGCCAACGTCCGTGTAAGCACGTTGGTAACTTACACTTGTACATCGCCAGCCTCCTACAAGAGTCACCTTCCCACCTTTGTGAAATCAATAATCGTAAATAAAAGTAATACTTACCAGCTGTGCATAGCGTGGACCATTTCTTAGATGTTCTTCATAC